AATTTGAAGCATTATACGATTTAGTGCACAAACCGTTTAACATTTGAACAACCTTGTTAAATACTTTTGTTTAATTTGTAAATTTATTTCAATTTTTATACAAATTTCTGTTGCTTTGTGGTGTAACATTCATTCTATCAATACATTCGTATTGTATTTAAAGCATGCTCAACATGTTCCAACCCCAAATGCTCAAAACATATGCATATATATATGCTACATTTCATATTTGATATTTGGCTATATATATATATATATATATACTTATATATCCGATTACTGTTTGCATTTGTCTCCAACGAGTTGTCTGTTTTCTGTTTTCTGTTTATTGTTATAGCCAAAAACAATGAAGTTCTTAATTAAAATGCACCAAGATGTAAAGAACTAAATAAACGAAGATATATACTATGAGTGGCAGCATTGAAGTGGCAAGTGGCAAGTGGCAAGTGGCAAGTGGCAAGTGGCAAGCGGCAAGTGGCAAGTGGCATGTGGCAAAGAAATGTGTACGCATGCCAGGCAATCAGAGCGAGAAAATGCAACATATTTCATCTAAATTCGAATACAAATGAAATTAAAATTCAATTAAAATCAATTGAAGCATTGCTCTGACACGGTCCGTCGCCAAAAATATTTTGAGTCGAATATATATATGTATATATATATATATATATTTATGCAGTATCTCATGAGTCAAGTGACACACTATTAAACGTGTCTGGTCTGGTCTGTGCAGGTGCAACAGTGCAGCAACAATAGCAACAGCAACTTGCCACAAGGCAGCTGGCAACCTGAAGCGGCCGTAATTGAATTTGAGTTTGTTGAGCATTTTGTAATCTTGTATGTCTTTATTTAATTTTTATATTCATCTTGCGGCAACACAGAACACAAAAAGAAGCTGACGATAAGATTACAGCTGCATGTGGCAGCCAGCCACCGTGCAACAAATCCGCACAACGAGCCAACTTTCAAGGCGACACATGTGCTTGTTTCTCTGTGTGCGTATGTGTATTTTTTATTATTAAATCAAAAAACTTGAGTAAATTTCACAAACAAAAATGTTAAATGCCAGCCGCTGGGTTGAGTGTGTGCCTGTGTGTGTGTGTGTGTGTGTGTGTGTGTCTCTGTGTGTGTGTGTGTCTCTGTGTGTGTGTGTGTGTATTACAATTTCACTTGATTGCCATTTGTTTTTTAGCGAACTGTGCGGCAAATGTTATGCGGCTAACTGGCTGCACATCACAAGCGGACAAACACAGCCAAAACACACTCACACACACACAACTTAAACAGAATTTGGAGCAGTGCGTCAGCAAGCGACGCATTCAATTAAACTTCCGCCAAACATGAAGCTTGCTGCTTGTTGCCCGCCCCACTCCGGCCCAAGTCCGCCCAGCCACTACGCTTGCTGCCTGCCTGCCCCTGCCTCTGACCGTGCCTCTGCCCGTTGCCTATTTGCCTGTCATTCAGCTGGCTGCCGCTGCTGCCGCTGCTGCTGCTGCCGTTGGATGTTGCTGTTGCCTCAAGGTTATAAAATAAACATGTTGCCACACACAAAATTTAAATAGATACAAGTTTGTGAGCGCATAAAACAATAAACCGCAGTAATTTAACAAAAAAAAATATATATACATATATATATATATATATATATGCTTATGCATATATACCCCAGCCAAGTAGAAGAAGAAAAAAAAACCCGAAAACAAGGCATGAATTGCTGCTCTTTCGTTCACTCTCTTGCTCTCTCTCGCTCTCTCTCTCTCTCTCTCTCTCTCTGTCTTGAGGAAATTCGAAATTAAAATACAATTTAAAAGTACCAAATAGAGCAATTAAGCGGCCTTTTCTTACAGCTTACACACACAAACACATACACGCACACGCTCACACACACACACACACAAAGACAACACATGACAGCAAGTGCTCAGCACATGCAAACTTCATTACAAACCGGAACAACTTAAGCAACAGCCTAGGCACAATCATCAAGTACAAGTACAAGTACAAGAACAAGTGCAATATACACACACACACACACACACACACACACACACGCGCGCGTACACGGACACACACAAATATGTGTGGCATACATTTGTGCTTTGTGCCCCAAACATACAGAAAACAAAGATAACAAAAGACGCGCGCGTTTACAAGCGGCAAAGTGGCAGGCAGACATAACAGCAGTGGCAGCAACACCAAAAAGTGTTGCATACTTCTTGGGGCGTGGCGGTTGTCGCACGTTCTAGTAGTTGTTGATGGACGACGCATTGGTGTTGCCAAAGCGGCTTGTAATTTGAAACACTTGTGTCAATGTGCGCCTCACCCTGCACCCCAGCCCCCAACCGATGCCCCATGCCACAAAAAGCTGCCACAAAACTCGCATGTTTTGGTGTTGTTGTTGCTGCGGTTGTCAGCGTCTTATTATCATCATCAGTGGCAGCTTTCGGCGGTTTTGTGTATGTGCACACACACACACACACACACTTGCACACACATAAAAACAATTGAGAGTATGAGTGGCTGTTGTTGTCGTATTTGTTGTTGTAGGTACTAGCGCCGCCTGCCGACTGACATATAACACACACACACACATACGCACACACAGCTGTGGCATGGCGTGTGCGGGGTGTCGGGTTAGTTGCAAGTTGTGTGTTGTCATCGAGCGTCTTCTCGACGAAACAGTAAAATTCACTTTGCCAAAAAGTTTTTATTTCATTAAAAAGTGTCTGCGTGTGTGTGTGTCGTTTACTGGCAGGGAAGCAATTCATCAAACCAAATTCAGTCACCACACACACACATACATGCAGACACGCACACACACACAGGCGCACAAGGCAAAACTAACGGACTGACAGCTCAATGAAAGCAAGCAGCAGTCGCCAATGCTTATGTTGCCTTTGGCTTTATCATGCTGCAAGTTGTAGCCGCAACAAAAACTGCCAAAAAGATGTTGCCCCAGACAGAGCCTGGCCGAGCAGTTCGCTAACAACTGCATTTTTGGTAAAGTTTTTAACCTTTTGCATATGCATGCGCCAACAGCGGCCCAGCGAACGGGTGAACGGGCGAACGGGCGAACGGGTGAACGGGCGAACGGGCGAGTAAATGGCTCAAGTTGTTGAAGCGTGCTTTTGGCTTGTTCTTGCGCCCGACGTCTGCTGCATGCTCACAGGCATAATGAAAGCTTCTTCTGCGTACACACACTCACAAACACACTCACACACACACACACACACACAACACACACACACACACGCACACACACACACACATACCCACACACACACACACACACACACACACACACACACTAGTTGCTCGGGCTGTCCGCTTCGCTGAAAAATGAGCTGCAGCCGGCAGATCTGCAACGGTTGCTCCACAGCTTAGCGTGCGTGCGAGAGAGTAAGGTAGAGTGTACAAAGACAGGGTTGTACTCAACTAAATGGTATGCGAATGTGTGCGTGTATCTGCGCTGCAGAAATATGACATTTAATTTGCATAAATTAATGCACGTCTCTTCCCGCACACACCGTACCCACCGAATCCAACGTATTGCAGCTAAAATCAGCTAAAAGTTCGATTTCGTTTCGGGAAATGTATGCCAAGCAGCAAATAAATGATTAAGGACATTCATCATTAAACTTTAAGTCCACTTCACGATTCGATGTCAATCAAAAGTAGGCAAAAAAAAAAAAAAATTGAAGAAAAAAAAAACAAATCAAAAGTTTGACATTTTTGTTTTAATTGACATTTTTCAGCCATGTCCTTGGGGCTTAAATATAAATCGAATTAGGAAATTAACTTTATGCTGTTCTCATTTTTTTGCGCAAAATGCAAAGGAAAAGGGTAAATTTAATGGATTTTTTAATGACTGGGGTTATCTTAAGTTCGAATCAAAGGAAAGGTGTGCTATATGAACTGCTGCGCCACATAAATCAGAGATTCAAGACAGAGACAAATGTATCCAGAATTAGTTAAAATATTGCATATGTACTTATATACACATCTAGATAAATGTTTCAGAATTATTATTATTAATAATACTTGCAAAAAAAAAAAAAAAAAAAACAAATTAGTGCAATTTAAACATAAGTTGGCTCGTACGATTCGTTTGACTTTACTCGCATGCTGATTGTAACTTAATGGATTATATATAATAAACACACTAAACTAATATCAAACAAGACCATGAATACGGCTTGTAACTATTTATCTGCAGCTATATGAGGCCTTTTTCTGTTTAGACAAAAACATTTATATCAAGTATTTCACTAATCCTTATTTAAATACATAATATATTCATTAATTTATATATATGCAAGTATACAGATAGCGCACTTTATTTAGTTTATATGGCATTATAAACTTGTGTATTTGATTTTCAAATAACTAAATAAATAATAAACTCTGTGTCGGAACAGAGTTGCACACAAATCTATTAAATTAAACAGAATTCTTTTTATTTGTTATTTGAATGATTTTTTGCTTTTCCTTTGGCTATTTTCCACCAATTCAATTGTAAATTTATTTTTTGTGTATTATTAAATTACAAATGGCCTACCTTTCCGCTGCCGCGTGAGGTCAATGTAGTAAGTCCCAAAGACACCAGCTGAAAATCACACTAACGCAAAATGTTGGTCGCGTGCTTGAATTTAGTGTTGTGTAGCGTCGAAAAGAGGCCAATGCTTATCAAGCCTCAAGTAGAAACTAAAAACTTTCTAGTTCGACTGCATTATACAATCCCGATTAAAGCTCAAATCTCGATTAAATGCTATAATATTGAAAGAACTTATCATAATATAGAGAAGAGTTAAATAAAAAAAGAGCTTTTATCAAATGCATCAAGAAGTGTTAAAAAAACGGTAAAGAAAGTAAAGTTTAAACAACAACTAAATAAAATTTTGATAAATATAAATTTAAAACTTGATTTACCTTTCACACTTTAACCAAAAAATATCGACTTAACTGCATAAAGTCAACTCAATAAAAGCTTTAAACACGCTAAAATGTAAGATTATTAAAGAAATGAATCATTAACTGTGATGTTGAGGTAAGGACAAAGGAAAACTTAAGGAGAGAAACTTTAAGAAAGCTTTAAGCTTGATTTACCCCACTAACCTGTTTTAATTTGAAGATTAATCTGTGATTATCAGCTAGTGTCATTGAGCCAAAGCTAAGCAAACTGAAAAAGGCCCATAAACATATACATATTCATATATATTTATATGTTTGTACGTCTGATAGTGTGCGTGTGCGTGTGTGTGTGCGTGTGTGTTTGTGTTACGCAGTTATGCAGTTACTCAAAGCAAGCCTTTTTATCCTGTCCAAATCTGAGCAATGCGAAGAAAGCAGCCATGTGGCATGCTTGTTTCATCTGTTGAAACAAAAAATCAACTAACTGTGTGAGTGTGTGTTTGTGTTTGCGTGTGTGTGAGTGTAAACCTAGTGCAGTGCTGCCACCATGTATTATAACAGCCTGAGCGCCGCAACTAAGCCGGACAAACCCATTAAGAGCGGCTGTCGACAGTGGGACAGCCAGAGCGAATGCCACAACCATTGGCGGCGATAGTGTGGCTGATAGTGGCCCAGGAAGGCGCGAAGTGGCGCGCCGCCGGAGCTACGTTCGTTGTTGTCCATGGGGCCGCGCAGTTCCGTGTCGCCCCCGGCTATGCCGCCGCCGCCGCCGTAATAGGTCGGCTTACGGGTGTTGCCAGACCCGCTGACATGGCCATTGCCAAATGCCAGCTCGATGCTGGTGGCGCCTCCACCGGCAGTGCCGCCGGATTGCGTCTGCTGTGTGTGATGGTGGTGCTGATGCTGGTGCTGATGGCCGCCGCCACCGCCGCCGGGCTTATGTGTCGGTGGCTTATTGCCGCTGGTGTAGTAATGGTGCGGCGATAGCGGCGGCGAGCCGGCGAATTCGCCATCCTCGAAATCCTCCGCTGAGCCGTAGAGCTCGTCGTCGTCCGGCTGGTAGGTGACTTTGACTTGTTGTTTCAGTTTTAAAATGTCATTGGCATCCGTGTCGGTGGTGCCGCCAGCGTTGCCAGCGCCTCCGCTGCCTTTACCATTTGAAGGATTTTTACGATTCGGGCCCGGGATTTCTGTCGGCGGAAATGTAACGGTAACTTTAACGTTAACGGTAACGGTAACGGTAACGGTAGCAGTAGCAGTAATTGAAACAAAGGTGCAAATACCCTTCAAACCACCCGCCCGCCCGCCAAAATATGTGTCGCGTTTATTAACCATAAACTACGCAACCCGCCGCCGACATGCGAGTGCCCGCCAAACTCACCGTACAACCGGATGCTGCTGTCAACTTCGCCCAGCGAGTTTTTCGCAATACAACGGTAAGAGCCGACATCTTCCTTCTGAAATTTTCGCACAATCATCGACATTTTCGTCTCATACATCGACTGCGAACCCTCCTGCACATGGTATTTAATAGACGAGACAATCATTTCACCTGTTGATGAACAAACGTATCAAAAGTTATAAACTCCCGGGAAATATTTACAAGTACAATGTGACTATAGCGAAAATATGATAGTTATTTTATTATTATAATTTTCTCTCTCTCTCTCTCTCTCTCTCTCTCATTGTCGCTTTTTAATTGCTCCCGCTGTATTTTACTCTGGGAAGCCCACTTGCATCTATTTGTTTATAGACACTTTCGCCTTTCTTTGCGATTTTCGTTGCTTTGAACTTAAAAATGGGATTTTTTATGAGAAACCCCTTCTTAAGATTAACAATGATTCGAGCCACAGACACACAATTATTTAAAAAGGGAAGATTCAATTTCAATTATAGCTTTAAATCGAAATAATACATTATATTTATTTAAAAATCAATATATAAAGACAATCTTAAATGATGAATCATTTAGGTATGTTTTTTTTTGTTGTTGCGAAAAAGGGTTATTTATGAAGTCAGCTTGAAACGCGATTGCAATTGTACAACGCTCGAGTAAATGGCAAAGAGAATTATAAATTAATTCATTACTGATATTAAAGCCCCTAACAAAAATCAATGGATTGTATATGATTTATTGTACGAGGCACAGGGCATGATGCCAATGTACAGAATAAACGTCAATGTGCATAATGCGGACTATAAACCTCTGCCAAAGCGGACAGTATCCAAGACAACCGCAGCATTAACACCAATGCACACACACACACACACACACACACACGCACACACACAGACACTCATAGACACGCAGACAGACAGCCAGACGCATCAATGAATACAAAGAGGCTCCGCATATGCGCCTGCCTTGAGGTTGGGACTTTTACAATGCACAATGGGCCGAATGTACGTTGTATTCGGACATTGATGGGCCCTGTCGCTACTTATTGCCGGGCATTACATTTGATGCTTAATGATTGAGAAAACAATTGTAAAAGCCACTTGGACCATTTGAAGCACACACACACACGCACACACACGCACACAAACACTACTGCATACACTCGATATTTCAATATGTTTATATGTTCGGACTTGTGATACATTTATAACATCAGGGCCTAATCGAGATTAACACAAGGCTAACAATTGGCTTTGGGCATTTTACTGGCAGCTGTTGTTGTTGCAAGTCAGAAATTAGGAAACACAATTAAATACCCTGGCGAAAAACTATGGCAAAGGTGTGATATACATATTATATTTTCCTGTATGCAAATGAGCATAATCTTATCTACTTCATATAGCTCTATAAAAGGAATCGGAATTAGTTTTTATACGAAAAGCTTTTTGTTTTATAAGAAATTCTATCCAAACTGGGAATTGTGGAGACATTGAATCGGACCACTATTTGGCTCCTTTAGGAACTATCGGCTGGCATCCTCAGCACATGAAATAGTTGCTGCAATAGTCAGCTATACTAAATGAGGACTAATTTCGCCAACTTTACTTCTAGTCTAAAACCAATTTGACAGCATGTTTTAGCAACTACTTTTGTGTCGAAAAGGCATAAGCATAGAAATAGGCATTTTGGTAGCGAAGAAGTCCGACTGGGGTCAAATCGGCCTTTTCCACACTTCAACCAAAGCAATTAGGAAAGTTGCAGGCATTTGGTGGCTCTTGTTTTTAAATTGTGGAATATATTTGATGATTTCATTAGAATGTCAGTATGTTATGAGACTTTAACGAGCTACCTATTTTAAAAGCGCCCAGTTGCGAATCGGTCAGTTTGGGTGACTTTTGGCATATAACGGCTTTGGGGTGAATGTAAATTTAACTTTTGGCACGAATATTGTATGGCTTAGAGCTCAAATGGGCTCACCAGACGTGACAATCTGACAGTGAACTTATGACAATCCATACAAGGATAACGAGCATAACATACATGTCTATTCTATATACTTACTATATAAAGTGCATATGCCATCGAATGTCTATAAAATGTAAAAGTTGGCCATCAGCGGCACATGGAGCGAGACACAAATACCCAGGCACGCACACCATCAGTCAGATACATCCACACACACACATACGAACATACACATACATATATACTAACCGGTATCCTTAATCCAGTAGTTAATTGATTTGGGCGAGGCCTCAACGTGACACTCGATTTGAACATCAGTGCCAAGCGGTGCTCCGACTAATTGATTCGGCACTTGTATGACTGGATGAACTGCAAAAGGGGGAAAAGAGGAAAGAAAGAGAGAGAGAGTGAGCGTGAGTGTGAGAGAGAGGGAAAAAGTCGTTATGTACTCGTTTGTTATTGCAGCAGTGCAGCACATTATAAAACCATTTTTTAAATGCATCCGTTCCCCTGTCTCATACACAAAGCTGATACGATTTCTAGCCATACTCACATGCAGCCATGCATAGATATATTATGTAACTGGCTTTACAATCTGACAACGCTAACGATTCTGAATAAGGGCCAAGTTAATCCTGACTCTCATACAGTACTACCTTTAATTTCTATAGTAGAAACATGCTGCTCCGACTAGTAACAAGTAAGGTAGCTCCCACTCTTCAGATAAAATACTTTCTAGTTAGCAAAGCCTAGTTTACTCTTATAGTCTGATGAATTTAAAACTTGGAATAGATATAACTGATTAAGTTTATTTGTTATAAGCAATGCATAAAACCGAAATCTGTAGCGATTGCCAATATTTTACAGCATTTGGGAAAAACGATAACTTTCTACTGTAATGCATTGGCATCATTTACTTAACTATTAGTTTAATTCGCCGCTAATACTTTATTCATTAGGCAATGGGTTGAATTACTCGCTACAAAACGTAAATTGTTTTGGCTGATTTCCGTCGATAACGATTTGAATTACTCGCTATTGAATTTGATTACTCGCAATTGACTCGTCGTGTTTTGTAAATGATATTGGTTTTCTGTAATGTTTTTGCATAGAGTAACTAGCGATGTGTACTCGCTACCATTGCAGTGCTCATATGATAGCGAGTTACAAAACTCGCTACAACACGTTGATTGTTCTAGCTGCTTTAACTCGCTAACGAGTTAAGTTATTCGCTGACGAGTTAAATTACTCGCTACAACACGTTGATCGTTATTGCTGGTTTAGCTCGCTAGCGAGTTAAATTACTCGCTTTTGACTGTCGTGTTACTCGTCGTGCTTGGCTTGGCCGCTGGCAATACAATAGCATAGAAAACACAATTTTGTACACATATTTTCTACACTCTTTACTTCTTGTGATAAGAAATGACAACAATAGCGATTGCCGCTCTACTTTAAATAATAGCAGTTGCATAATAAAGCACCCACATACATACATACATGCATAAATACATATGCATGTGTGTGTGTCTGAATGGGAGTAGAAAGCCAATTGGGAGTAGGATAACTCGGTGCGGTCATCAAAATGGAATGCAGATGCAGTGCACGTCTCTCTGTGGAGTTAAATGGCAACTCTTTTGCAATTCGTGTGCGTGTTTATTGTCACTTAGCCAAGGAGATAGAGAGGTGGGGTACCGTATACCAGGCACATCCACACACACCCCAAAAGACCCTACGCACACGCGCACACACACACACACACACACACACACACACACACTACGTCTAGCAGACGCTCACCGAGCTATAACCAAAATTGGTGGTTTTGTAAAACTGCCAAAGCCGCCACAGGCCATTGCTTGCAACGTGGCAAACCCCACAACCAGCCGCCAGATATGCTGTACACACATATGTGTGTGTGAGTGCGTGTGTATGTGCAAGTGTGTGAAGGCAAGCATTTCTGTAGTCATGTGCATTGATAGTCAATTACAGTGCAACAGCAGCTTGCAACAATAGCCAGTGTGTGTGCGTGTGCGTGTGCGAGTATGTGTGTGACGGAGTGTGTGTGTGGATCTACAGCATTGGACAGCTTTGTAAGTTCGAGGGATTTTAATTGATTTCCGTGCCCGAGTGCATATGTCTTATCTATCAACTGTCTATTTGCTCACTCACTGTAGCCACATATAAAGCTAAGTTCAAGTGTGTGTGTGTGTGTGTGTGTGTGTGTGCTTGTGTGTGTACCGGGTGTGCTTTTGTGACTGTGGGTGTGTTGCTGTGAAAACAATCCGAAGGTAAACTCTTACGTGTATAAAAATACCCATATTTTATGTGATCATATGATCATAAGTAAATATATAACTAACCAGTGTGCATTACCTGGTTTTTCCGGGCTAAGCTTTTTTTCCTCGAATTTTAGACATTACCAATTCAACTTTTTTTAAATCTACACGTACTACCCAAAAAACCATGTCACAAATGAGATATTTGCAAATAAGTTTAAAATCTCAATCAATCCGCCCATTTTTCACTCATGAGACCCAATGTTTTTCTCGCTGACCGAAAGGAAAATAAACTGTCGCCCCAACAATCTTTGACGCCCATTTTCTACCTAGTGCAGTGAATTTGCCTTTGAAATCAAAAATAATAAAAATAAATAAATGAGCTTAAATCTGATCTGTTGGTTTTCCATCAATTTTCCACAATTGCGGGTGGAATTCTTAAAAATTGCGTTTTAACAGTTGAATCAAATAAGGTAACTACACCTAAGAAATGCAGTTTTCAATCTCCTAAGATCATCAATCAGTCAGTCTGTCTGTCAGTCATTCAGTTATCAGTTTTATACTATATAGATAGATAGCGATAAATTGAAACCGATTGAAAGCTTTCAGGGGCTTTAAAGCTTTGCTCATTTTCACGATTCCAATCCACCATTTTGGTGGCAACTGCAGCCAGTGCTGTTTAGTACAGAAAATTGACATTTAAGTCACGCACATTGCAGCAGAAGCTGCAGCTGGACATGGAGCTGGAGCTGGGGCTAGAGCTGGATCTGGAGGTGGGGGTGGGGTGTTTGGACAGGAGCTGAGCTACGTTCAAGCATAAAAATCTTCCTGTCACTGGCACTCAGGGGCAGTCAACGAGCGGCTGCCAGCTTGACCAATGCATGAGTGCTGGTTGACTGCGTCTATTTTCAATCTGCATACAGGCAACACACACACAGCTACACACATAGGCACACCTAGACACAGATATACGTACTGCAACTTTGGGAGATTGCATTGGGGCAGGCAGGCCAGGCGGTGTGTGTGTCCCGGCAGAAGCGGCTGGCGAACACTTTCGCTTGCGATTTACAATTTTGCCATGATTATTCCGAGCATGTGCCTTGGCTACAACCATGCCCGCAGTCCTCAATCCTCAATCCTCAATCCTCAAGCCTCAGCTGCCAGTGCTTCCAGCTCTCTCGGTGCCCAGTCCACAGCTGCCTGCTGGCTCAGTTGCGGCAAACAAAGCCACAAATATGCACTAATGACGTCGTCGCAGCAGCAGCAGCTGCAGCTACAATTACAACCAGACACAGACACACACGCACACATACACATACATGCACACCTCATCACATTTTTGGCTATTGTGTGAAACTTTGAGTTAAAGGTAAAAGAGTCGGACACAAAAGCCAATGACGTGTATTTTCAGCTCATTGGCAGCGCAAATAGAGACCAGCCCGTTTGTACATTTATTCGTTTCGTCGCCCCCTTCTCATGCCTACGCTGCCCCCTATTCCCTACCTTCACGCACACACACGCACACACACACACATACACACACAAACACTCACACAGATGAAGCTATTGCAAATTTATGCCACTGTCCGTGTGCGTACCAACTATCACCTCACCTGGAAATATATATCTCTGGTTCTCTCTTAGGCGTACGTGATTTTTTGCGATTTGCCTCAATTATTTGCTTTTGATTTTCAACGAAAATGCACAAAAAATTGCAATATGTTTTTAATTATTTACTTTTTTTTGAGCAATAGATTCAGAAACATGTTTGACACAACAAAAGTTTCTAAACAATGCGAATTTTAATGATGCGAGACGAGACAAAGTTTTTAATTCGATGGACGGGAAACCAATTTTTAAATATTTAGGAAAATGGGTGGAAAACTGATGTTTAAAATTTTAATTATGAGGCTTGTTCCGGGCAAGGCCTGGAATTTGAAATTAAGTCCGCCATGAAAGATATGTAAGACTAAAAGTATTTTAACCAAGGTTTTGAATCGAATATCTCGGTAAGCTGTTGCCCAAAAAAACAGTCAACTTTAATCTAAGCCAAATTATAATTTCAGTACTAAAGAATGGGTTAAAAAAAATGTGACAAGCTGGGCTCATCGATGAGAAGAACTAGGTTCGTGTACCGAACCATCGACAATTATTTATTTAAATTGAAATTGGGCATTGAAAATGGGCAAAAAGGATATAATATTTTTATGTATGGGTATCTTATATAGTTGTATAGAAGGAAGCTGGCATGTTTGTAAAGGTTGCTTGGCGCAGAGTTCAAGGTATTTCCCAGTCGGGCAGGCAAATGCTTCTGCCTGTGTTGATCCCTGATTAGACTGGAACTCATTTATTGCTGGCTTATAATATTGGTGGCTAAATAGAAAATAATAATAAAATGTCATCTACTAAAAAGTATCATCTATTAAGTGGGATAGCAAATGGCAGAAAAAATGATTGAGCAATCATACGGCAAACAATAAATGCAGTATATGTGCGGACTGTGGCAGATGGGGAGGAGCTGGCTGCTAATTGTGGGCTAATTGTTTGTTGCGCGTCCCGGTGCTGTTTTCCTGCAAATGCGCAACGCACACCAATTGCACGTCCTTAATTAGTCGTGCAGGAAGGTGCCTAACAAGGCAGGAAACTTCAGCAAATGGCACGGAAACACGCAAGGGGATATGCGATGTCGGTGTCGCTGTCAGTGTCGGCGTCGGTGGCGGAGTCGGTGTCGGAGCTGTTGGTTCTGTTGGTGCCACATGCGGCAAGCTGCAAATGCAGCCGGGGCTTTATCAGGCAGCTGCAGTGCAAGCAGTTCGCCGAAGATGCCATGGGAAAAAGGCCATGCAAATAGCTTGCCAGATGAAGGAAAACTTTGTTTTCACTTACTCAGCCAGCCAGGTGGGGCAGGCAGGCAGGCAGTCGCAACATTTGCCAAACAAATTGTGACTAAGTTCCTGCAGCAATAGCAACAGGAAGCGCGCACACTCGAATATGACGAAACTGGATTTGCAGCAGGGGGAAGGTAGGGCTTTCGTGTAGTTCTTCTGTGGCGGCAGTCGCTCTGCCCAAGTTGATCAAAAACTTTGAAAAGGTAGCGTATGCCAATGGCACTGGCGGCAAGCAGATAGGAGCGCAGAGCAGCTCTTAAAGCTTTAATAGCATCCACAAAGAAGAAGGATGCGCGGACTCCTTGACGCGCTACACACACTTAAAGGCCACATTATCAAAATGTCAAAATGTTAAAAAGCGTGATTTTGCCATTCGAACGAGTGGTGGTGACAAGTCTTCCAGTAGTAGTAGTAGTCGTCCTCTCTGCCGCAGCGTACAAAAGAGCAAGCAAAATAAACACAGCAGCCAGGACACACAAGGCACCAGGCACCGGGCACCGGGCACGGCATGCCCAGTAGCTGGCCCTGTGCCTGGCCAGGAATAGGAATTGCGGCGCTGTGGCACACGTTGGCAAACAAGCGCAGTGTGGAGCTGCTGCTGATGTCGTGATGATTGAGTGAACTGCCACATGGACGGCAGGCAGCAGGCAGAAGGCGGCAGGCGGCAGGCGGTGCAACTGAGAGCCACCAAGCGTCGTCATCAACTAGGACAGCATGCCGCACGTGCTGCAGACAGGTTGACAAAAAACTGTGGCCCCCTCCCCGCCGTAAAAGCAACAGCAACACAATGCACAAGGCATCAGGTAATGCCCGGTATCAGTGACTGGATTTAAACGGATTACAACAACGACAATCGAGTTAGCGCCGCACCGAGCCACAAGCTGTTCACTACCTTGCCCCAACAAAACCCAACCCCATCTCGCCACAGCTCGCCCCCTCGCTCCCTCACTCCCTCAGCCACTGTTCTGCTATTCTCCTTTCTATGCCCAGCTTTGCGTTTGCTTCTTTTTTTCCCCCTTTTTTTTTTGTCCGCAGCATAGCTGAGGGCGCTGTGTGTGTGTGTGTGTGTGTGTGTGTGTGTGTGTGTAGTTGATAACTGTGGCTAAAGCTGGCTGCACGCTGGGTGTCAGTACACTAAACTAGATAAACACCACGACGCTGGCCGGCGCCAAAAACTGAGAGCTGTGAGCTCTGAGGATGAGATCCGGACGGACACAGTCTGCGCTCTGGCGACAGCTGACTAATGATATGTACGTGTACAAAAAAAAAAAAATACAAATACAAATAAAAAAAAAGAGCATGCACAAAGTTGACCAACCACAACTCTCTAATTAATGCCAACCTAGCTCAGCCCTCTGGCACCACGTGACCAGCAGCCAGCAGCCGGCAACCGGCAGCAAGTGGATTGCGGATTTGATTTACTTACAGTGTATGCTGAGCGAGATGCGCTTTGAAACCGATGGGGGCACACCATTGGAGGCGATGCACAGATACGAGCCCATCTCGTTGCGTGAGATTTTTGTCAGCTTGAGCACCTCGCCGCGGAACGAGGAGACTGTCATCAGGCCGAGAAAGAGACGGAGAGGGAGAATTGTACAGTGAACTCAGTTGAAACGAACCGCTAAATAGTTTAATTATTAAGTGCTAGTCGAATACATACCAAGTGTCTTGGTGCCGGCGTTATCCTTGAGCACTATTTCGCTGCCATCCTCGCGGCGCCAGTTCACAATGGGTTCCGGATAGCCACGCGCGCTGCACCATCAAAATAAACGCAAAGTATACATATATATATGTGAATACAATGTTAAGTTAGGAAAGGAATTGGACTGTAGGTCAGTCAGAAGTCAATGTAAAATTACGAGGCCAAGAGAAATTAATTGGTATAAAAACACATTTAAATGCCACATTTAAGTCTTGCAACTTTAAGAGACTTGGGTCCATTATTATCCATATTTTAACGAACTTCTATTCAAGAATACATTTTACAAAGTTTGTACTGGATATAGATTTTTAAAGGGTAGAGATATAGGGTATGTGTACTATTAGAAAGTACTAGAAGCTAGAAATTGGCTATCTTCAGCACTAAGCTGTTCGGAATATTGTTTAAAACATAAAAGCTTTAAGAAGGAAGGAAGGCTAAAATAGTTTCCAATAACAAAGTGCGTTAATATCATGAAGGGGTTGATCCAGCTTAAAGTGGTCCTCAGAGAACGAGAGTTAAAGAGCAAATGAAGCAATCCAGATTAAAAAAAAAAAATGTTATAGAGCCAGCATAGCTCTTCTGCTTAAGAGGTTTTGGAAGGAAAGTCCAATTGTTGGACCTGTCAATGTTAGCGAGGCATGGGAAGATTGTACAAATCAAAAGCCTGGCTTAACGTATATAATTGAACAATATTAAATTTAAATTGTAACTTAGTTAAGATTAATTTTGCGATGAAAAAGTTGTACACTGTGATTATTTAACATTTAAATAAGTGCTTCCAAACGTGGCGCACTTTAAATCGTGCCATCTTTTCGCTGCCCACAAAAGTAGGCAATGGAAATTTGTGCGCAAGCTGAGTTTTGGTCTATTCAACTTAATATGCGGCATTGGTGGCCATTGTGTTGGCCCAAAGCGCCAACTTCTTGTAATGTAGACGACGCAACGCTTTTGGCCAGCAGTCGCCGCCTATGGCTGAGATTGTGAATGGGGTGGATGTATGTATGCTCTGGCGAGGGGGTTCGGAGGGGGTTCGGAGGGGGGCTATATGCATGTTGAGGCAGCAGTTTAACAGCGCACCAGACACGGGTGTGGTAAATTTTTATGATGCCGCAAACAGATGCAAAATAGCCAAGCAAAAGAAAGTCTTACGCACACACACACAACCGCACACAACCGCACACAAACACAGGCACACAGACGGGCTGAGACATTTGAGAGTTCGTCCCGAGTGCAAGACCAGAGCAAACACAATGGAGACCGCCTGGGTACCAGTCAGCAGCAGTTGCTTAGCTGCTAACTTGGCTAAGACTGAACGTCTGCCAAGCTGATTGTTTGTACTGCATGTGTATGCGTGTTTGTGTGTGTGTGTGTGTGTGAGGTGTTTCTTGTAACATGTTTATTCATGAAAACAACTGCATACATATATACATGTACTACAATGAACCAAGACACGCTCTCTGAACATGTACATAGGTGATCATTGTATTTAAATAAACATTGCCTCTTTGCCAGGGCACACAACATGCATATTTGAATTATATAATCGTCAGGGGTATTCCCTGAGTATTATGAACCTGTGCTTTTAGCTCTAAGTCTTACGAATTATTGAATTAAATTTTACACGCTGAATAGGCTGAAAATAAGACGAAATTTTAAGATAAACCCTAAAATGCTTTAAATAATCGATTTTACTAATGATTTATTATCGATTAAAAAATTATGTACATTTCAGGCAGAGGCGCTTAAAGGAAATCTATCTTCATCTAAAACTGTTCTTAGCTCCGCATAGAAAATGGTACGAAAATACTCTTTTCACATTTTGGAACAGTGTATAAATGTTTTGAGCCAACAACAAGGACAAAAAAAATATAGCTTAACAATCTGTTCATCTGGTAAACTTTGAAACGGCAGCCGTTTTAATTTTGTTTTTGTTTGCCGGCTGCTTAAAGTTAAATTCACTTTATGGGACTTGCCCTAAGTGGTATTAAAATGAAAAAAATTACAGACGATGTCTCTAATAGCTTTCCACATACACACACACACACACACACCCGCATACACTCGCACACACACACAACATAAACATAGACCGATACGAGCAAGGAGGAGCCCGTTTATCGCCCTGGTTCTATCATTCTGCGGTTAAATCGTTAAAATTACTTCGTGGCGGTGGTCAAGTTCATAAATCAACGGCGACCAAATGCGTCGCGTCGCGTCGTTGTCGCAGTTAGCTAAAAGGAAAAACCACTGAAACTAACACGAGCTGAAGCCAGCCGATAGGCGATGGTGTGTGCTCCACATTGGGATACCCTGTAAAGTGTTGCACTTGCTCGCTAGGGACTTGCTTGGCTGACTTTTAAGCATTAGCTCGGAAAATTGGAGAGTTCTTCTATTAGATATCATATCTTCGATGGCACGCAATATCAATATAATAGTCAATATATTTATCTTTCATCTCTTCTTTAAAGTAATGTCAAGCTATGTATCTGTAGACATATTTCACACACACACGGATATGCACACATGTCAAGTTGTTTATCGTAAGCGGAATGCTCAACTTTTGGCAAGGGCATATGGTTAGCGCCGACCCAAATCAAGAGAAATGAAGTGTCGCTTAATTTGCTGACATTATTAAATGATGATGATGATGATGACGCTGACAATGCGGGCGGAGTTGTGCTTAGTTTTTGGTGATGATAGCCATTTGGCTGGGATTTTAGTTGAGTAAAGGAATAAAGGACTATCCAAACGCATTTATTGGGATATTAGCTACACACACGCATTAATATACATATGTATGTCTAACGAAACTATCATTTGCATGCTCGTTAACAAGAGTGTGACCGTACTTCTGCAGATCTACATGTAGCCTTAAGTATGTTAGAGCTCTTACTAGCTCGATTTCTAGGCTAATTAGTGATATCCAGAGGCCAAGCCAGTCAGCTAGTTTAGCATATTATTAGACTTATGAAGCTGAACAACGTTAAGCTTGCTGTTAAATTTAACCAGATGTCAACTAATGTGTGTGATGTTTATTAAGTGGTTGTATGTGGTTAATTGGTAATTACCACTGCTTACATCAATTGAGCATATTTTTTAACTCAGGCTTATGTAAGCTTAACAGCGTTGCCAGACTGTAAGCCAGCTTCCTGTTAAATTTAACATAACCTATGTATTTGAGTGTTTATTGTGTTGGACTATGTGGGCTTAAACGCTATAATTGTTAAGATTAACATTGCTTTTAGACTACACTCACCGACATGTTAAGCGCACTGAGCTGCCCTCGGGCACAATAACATCCGACGATGTATCCTCGCTGATAAAGTCCGGTGGAATAACAACATCCAGGAAGCCGATCTACAGAAAAGCAAGAAATATATAAATGTTAATTTGCAAAATTAAACAGAATTTTTCAATAAACTATATGTGGACTACAAAAATAAAAAATAGTGTTGATAGGAAACGGGAACAAAAGTCAATCCCGTTGAAAAATAAATATCAAAATGTAAAATTGAAGGAGACACACATAAAATCAAGTAACAGGAATAAAATAAACAAATAAAACAATCATCTTTAAAATGTTAGAGACAGCAGAGGCGGCCAGTTTGGCTAAATTTACTATACACTCAGCGAAAATTTGCTGATTATGCAGGCGGTCATAAAGCAGCAAATGTTTTTATGTGCCGAATGGGGGGGGGGGGACCCCTGAGATCGGGAACGGGCATTACACATACACATACATAATGTAGCAAATGAAATGACGCTAAATAGTTTAGGACTGTGTGACTGTCAGGAGCAGGAGCAGAACCAGGACTAGGGCCCGGACCAGGGCCCGGACTCTTAACGCAATGGCAATGGTAATAGAAAACAAAACAAGGCAAAAGCGTAGAAAAGAAACGAAGACAATTGGGCAACGGTTGCGTGCGCAGCTCTCTGTGCCACTTGCTGTTGCAGTAAGTACACCAGCCCTGCCCAACCAACCTTCATTCAACCCCCCCCCCCCTCCCGCCACTCCATTCACTCTTCGCCGCATACTCGGGCTCCATCAACTGCTGCTGTTGTCCTTGTGAGAAGCGTTAAAGTAAAAATAAAAATTAAGGAAGCATGAAATACATTTTATTGGCGCCATAAACTTCACTTGGCTGGACACATGAGTGTACGTGCGTCCACACGCACACAAGCAAGCAACGCACACTCACACACACACACACACACACACGTATAGATATTTCAGTTTGTGTGTGTGTGCGTGTCTTTCGCCTTGTTTGCCATAGTTTTCGCTTTCGATTTGCTGCGCTTTCTTTCACTTGGTCAACATTGGGGGGCAAGGCTAAAGCAAATCGTAAGCCCAAGGAGGGAGGGGGGAGTGTGGGGCGCCATCGAATGCGTTGCATTCTCCTGTACGTTTGCCCCTTCAAATGCTGCATGAAATTTTCCTGGACACTTTGGAAAATTGCTTTCAACAGCAGCAGGCAGCAGCAGCAGCGTACATGGAAAATATTTAGAAACATTTTCATTGTCTTCTTAGCTGGGGCATTATTCATTGGATGTGACCTTTGTCCAACTACTTATGTTAAGCAGAGCTCAAATACTATCGATAATGCTCACATTTAACCTATTTACCCACACATACATGCGTGCTTAAGCATATGTTGAGGATATGTGAAAACTCCATTGAATCTTCTGTTTACCAAGACAACTTCATGGCAAAATAGCTCAGAGTTTGTTTGCAAGTGTGGCAACGCTGTATCGATAAGTTGACACTGGTTGTAATCAACAATTAATATTAATTAATTGATAATTATTAATGAGTGGGCAACGCGACTTTGCAATGGACATGAGCTAATGAACTGAAATGGATTGCATAATGCAACTCTCCAATACTATGCACCTTTCGTAAACAGTGCTAGCACATTGTAAACTGCATGGTAACTTAACAAGGAGCATGAGTGAGATGAGTTTTTTGCATAAGTGCGAGAGTGGTCTCTTAATATGTATATATATATTTTCTGGGTTTTCTTTAGTAAGGTCTTATTTCTAGGTTCAGGGTGGAGTTCATTTACTTGATGAGGGACTTCTTCGTGATCGATGACTATTTACATGAGTGTAACTATTATAAATCAATCTTGCTTCCAGGAATAAAAGCAAATATAAAATAACATACTTAACAAAGATAAAAAATTAAGTGAAATACAAAAAGTTGTGCACTTACTTGGCTTTTCATTGGATCCGTATTCAGCTGGCACATATAACCGCCCCGATCCTCCTCGGAAACGGACTTGATGTGCAAATTCCAGGTGTTCTGATCCAAATGGCTGACCGTGACACGTGGATTGTGCGTTATCACGTTCTCGTGTATAGCCTGGATGGCTTTTGTGTCGGCTTTAAGCCAGCCCACCTGTGGAAACGAAGTCAAGAGAAATTACATTTACCAGGTACTTTGGCTGAGGGTAATGGGACTGCGGTTGATTATTGTTGCAGCACAGATTTCAGATGCTTAGTGGCTGCATTATTGTGCTGGTATCATTAATTAAGCGGTGTGTTGTGTTTACTAAGTACCACCTTGTCTGTGTGTGTGTGTGTGTGTGTGTGTGTGTGTGTATGTGTGTGGAGTACTTACGCGATAGCCACCCAAGTGGCGCACGTGACAGGTGAAGGTTGCGTCGCGACCCACAGCGACGGACACATTCGAAATGCTTTCCACAAACTCCGGTTGAAAGGCGCCAATCGCTGTAAATGTGCAACCAGAGAAGAGCGAGAGAGAGGAGTGAGAGGACCAATAAGATATGAGATTAGAATGCATCTGCGGTGTGTGGGCGGCGGTTAGTTGTGCGAGTTAATGATATCGCAGGCAATGCACGACTAGCACCGCGAGCAACCGTTGCGCCTGCCAAAAACTCTGTGATTTATCGCTTTTAAATGTGCCCGACGCGCCACTTGCCAAGTCGCAGACAGCCACCAGCCACCAGCCAGCAGCCAGGAGCCAGGAGCCCAACTATCAACAGCCAACAGGCAGCCAAGTGGCAGTTCAGGGTTCAGAGTTGGCTCTTAAAGAGCCAGCGTGCGGCTAATTGAAGATCAACACTCACGAGTTAACCGCCTGCACAGCCCTTGCCGCAGCGGGTCCAACTTGGGCCAATGCTTGGTGACATACGCAAATATATTATATAAATTATTTATTGAATCATTCAAAATCAAACAGTTCACTTGCAAGTTTTGCAAACAAAAAAATTCTTTTTCAGCCCGTTCCATATATACATATATAAAGAAAAAAAATGTATAAAGGTGGCAAGTCTTAGATTGAATACCCTTGTGGAAATGTGAAATGGAAATGTTTTATACGAAAATTCTTTGCCATATAATTTAGTACTTGATTAGATTACGTTAATTTGATCAGGATATCTAAGGAAACCAAAAAAGTATTGCTTACAAAAACCCAATCAATGACCAAAATGCCTGCAATCGAAAGACAGACCAATGCATAATTGCATAAAGATAGCTTTAAAAATGAGGGACATGGCCAGTTCAACACGACCCTTGAAACTGATCAAGAGTCTATATCATCTAAACATTTCCTTCTATGCATAACATATAGCATAGCAAAATTACAATACCCTCTAGAAGGGCATAAAATAGCGAGAAAAAAAAGGTTGTTGGTTGGCAAAAAGCGGTTGATTGGGCGGGCGGGACGGCTGGGCGGTCTAGGGGCCTGCAGAGCGGCAGGCAGCGACTAGCGCAGCCGTTGCCGCAACAAAGTGCCTGCTGCCCCACCACCCACCCCCATACCCTGGCACCCCTCCCTGCGTCTTTGGCCTGGTAATGCATGCGAAAAACTTTTGCCAAACTTGAAATTTAAATATTTATAGACAGTGCCGCTGGCAGCCGGCAGCCGGCAAGTGCGTCGGCCATCCGCATCCACCGAACGTGCCACCCACAGCCACAGCCAACGTCAACGCCAACGCCAACGCCACCGCCACCACTCAAATGCCACCGTTTGTATTGTGTGCCACTCACTGAGGGCGGGACAGGGGCAGCGGCTGTGGCGGTAAGTGGAAGAATGTGCTGAATCGACGCAATTGGCCAAAGGCATGATTTATTTCATACTTTTTTCCAGATTTCGTTTCAACAACTTTTTCTTATATTATTGAAAATGGATATAATTTGTGAAGCAGTTATGAGCTGTTCATTCCCATTGATGGCTCTTTCAAAATGGAACAGGGACAACTTTGTATTTTCCATTTTCCAAATCAATTCTATATTTGATTTGTGAAAAATAATTGCTACACAACACATTTTCACTTTATATTTATTTAACATAATGCTTTTGTTAAGACTTAAGAAAGTTAAACTTTATAAGACATGCATATTTATATTATTTTAGTAAAAACAGTTTTGACTCTTAAGAGAGGAAAACAAATTTTCAAAAAAAATGTACTCTTACTTTAAGGCATTTTTATACCTTAAACTCTATAACTTATTCCATGGCTCATCAAGGTCCCACAAAAATATTTTTCTAATAAATAAATACCCTGTGCTTTACATATATGTTCTTTGATTACGAGCAGAACTGAGATATAATAGAGAATAATTAAGTAAATAATGTTTAATAAAATTATATCAATATCATTCCACATAAAATAACTAAATTATGCAGATAATAATGAAAATATAGAATATTTAATAGGTAAGGTTTATAAAAATAAGACGAAAATAAAGAAATACTTTATAAGATGTCGGCTAGATTAAGGAAAAAATATATAAATAAAATATGACATTAATACAAATCAAATTAAAAATAAATTAAATACATTTTATATATAATAAATATATAAAATTTCAAAACATAAGAATAAACTATTTAAAAAAATAAATATTAAAATGTTTAAAAACTACTTGTTATATAGAAATCCTTATTCTAAAAATCTAATAAAAATCAATTGGATAATACTTTTGTATTTTGCTAGCTGCCCTTACAAAATTTACAAATAAAATAGCCTAAATATTCAATATGAATTCCTACAGACAGCCTGGCCTAAGCACTTTTTAGTATCTGGCAGTGTTGCGAGCAGAATGCGAGTTGGCTTAATAGTTTAAGTCGGTTTGCTAAGTTGAGGCGGCCTAAGGCGAATTTAAAAAAGAAGTGGCTAACCAGTCATCGCTTAATTTCTAAAATATATATTTTCATTTATTTAGCAGTTCCTCAAACAAAACTGCAAATGAAAAAGAACGTAACCAGTGTTGGAAGCTGCTGTTGGCGTCTGTTGGGCGTCTGTGGTTGCAGCTGGATTTATTTGCATGGATTTTGTTGCTGCAGTTGTTGGGGCGAGAAGCCGAGCGACTGGCTGACTCACTTACTGACTGACTGACTGACTGACTGACTGAGTTTTTCATTAGCATTCTGAGAGCAGGGGTCTTGACTGAGATTTCGTATCAAAATCAACAACAGCTAAAAAGTTCAGTTCAGAACAACAACTTGAGCAACAAGAGCAAATCTTTGCTGCAAATTGCAGCAGCACATGCAAAGTCAGTGATAGACGCCGGACAAAAGGAGCTGTAGACGTAACGACACCCACCCACACACACACACACACACACACACACACACACACACACAGAGACAACCACTTACACAGTGGCCAAACAAGCTGCACTCAAATGTAGTTCCTGCCTGGCTGGCTGCGGCTTGTTTGTCAATCTGTTCAACTGGATGCCAAACGTGGAGGCTTCAGCATTGTGCCAATTCCAATGAACTTGTCGCCCCCGTAAGGTTGAGGCCCGTCGTTTTGTGTCGCAATGCTCAACTGTACCCTCTGGCGCCCTGCCTCGCTCCCGCAGCTGTTAGCCGGTTGGCTATCCCGCCGTCCTGTCTCCGAGCACTTTGCATTTTCCGGTCACAAGAATTGAAGTTGCGCCAAGTCGCGTGTGCAGCCAAAGTCAATTAACCCATGCCCGTCGGTCAGCCTAACCTCCCATGCCTCGGCCACCGCCCCCTCGTATCTAGTGCAGTCGATGTTTTTCACATTTTCGCACGTTATCATAAATTTGGCGTCTCCGCTGGGACTACGGCCCGGCAGCTTCATTTCAATTTTCTTAGCCTCTGCTCCGGTTGTCGTGGATCCAGTTTGAAGGCGGATTCTGTGGGTTACGTGGAAATGGAGGCCTGTCACTTTGGCAGGGCTTTGCCAACGTATGGGTGGCCCGGCAATGGCGCTCCAAAAGTTTAAATCACACAACGACAATGAGGATTTACCAAAGCAAATTTATGGTTAAGGACATTGGCAAAAGTTAAGCTTGTTTTGTCAATGTGTGCGTGTGCATGTGTGTGTGTGTGTGTGTGTGTGTGTGTGTTAATAAAGTGTCTCGGCCTGCGTATGTGTATATATGGGGCAACAAAATATATGGCATAGCATTCTGTGCCATTGCCCCGCTCCAAGGTGTATATCCTGGTCGAAACACAGCTACAAAGATGCCAATCTGCATGGCACCTTTTTTTATGGTGCGCACACACAAATCCCGGCGCCAAAGCGCCAATGATAGGTGATAATGGCAAATTTTGAGACGGCAACTGGAATTGAAAGCTGCCGCAACGGGCACAGCTCCAATGGCCAAACAGGCAAAAGACAAAACTTAAATAAACAGCAGCACCAGACCAGACACGGCGCTGACGAGGCATTAAAGTGCTGCAGCTGTTCAAATTTATAAGCAAGCAGAAGGGAACGAGCTCTATTTGAGATACCCTCTAATGAAATGAAGCTGAAGGGCGAAGACCACTATAAACAGAGCAGAGTATGCTTCCAGAGCAAGGAATATGCTTAAACTAACAAATGCCGACTTTGATGAAGATATCTTAAAAAGCAAAGAAGTTGATTTATATGATATGATATAGCGGTCCGATACGGTCGGTTCCGATACATGTACTGCTGGGAACAGGAAGAGACAACTATACAAAGTTTAATGGGGTTAGCTTTAAGATTGAGAGACAAATTTGCAGACGGGCAGGCAGAAATGACTAGATCGACTGCTGCTACAAATCAAGAATACATACACGTTTTCATGTCGGAAATGTCTCCGTCCAAAATAACAATGCCCTCCACAGGTCTATACATGGAATATGCATTCCCTTAAGAAAATTTACAGAAAGTACAGAAAGTCAAAAACCTGAAGAATCTTGATGTAAATATGGCATCTAACATTCGCTCCAAATTATCTTAACTATATATAGCTGTAAATCGATATTTATCGATTTAAAGCGCGAGTTATCATAGAACCAAAATAAAAGTGGAACAGCGTATATTATGAATGAATTCATGCTTAGCAATTTGTATAGACGCTTGGCTCAGATAAGAATTTTATTTCAATTAATGCTGATCAAGAAAACATATACTACTTATAAGGAAAAGCAGATGCCAGCTTCTTGCAGTTGCACAAATTAATAATACCCTAGTGTATAACTTGATAGGCAAACAGGGTATAAATACATACTATATAGTCTACTCTGTGAATATATACAAAATCAAATTGCCAAGTTAGTCTCTGTTGCCAGCTTTTGCTGGGCGTTGAACTACCAAACGCAAATAGCAAATAGCAAATAGCAAATAACAAATGATGGCTGCAGCAAGTGGCAGCAAGTGGCAGCAAGTGGCGGCCGCGGTTGGTGGCAACTGCGCCTAATGGCCAGCCAGCTCGACTTGGGGGCACATTTGCATTTTTTACAAATCGTCGTCTACAAC